GGCCCATTATCGCCTCAAACTTCGACCGTCATGTTTCGTTCCGCTTTGTTGATTTTCCTTGCAGTCTTCGGTCCGAATTTCGCACATGCTTTGGCCACTAGAGGGAAAAACAAAATACGCAAGTTTTGCTTTTTTATAATTTTTATTATTTTACTTTTTATTAATTAGTTATTTTTGGCTTTAGCGAGTTATATCAAAATATGCAGCAGGAGCGACCCGTATTTGAACGAATGCGTGAAAAGCTCTGTCGAGGCGATCAAGCCTTACCTCGGAGAAGGTATGTCCAATTACAATTTTGACATAATGTGAATATGGCAAAACATCTGAATAATTTAAAATTTAAACAACAATAAAATATTTAAATTATTAATAAATATATTATAATAAAATTATTAATAAAAAAATATATATATAAGAATAAATTTAGTGGTCTATTGACCAAATTACTTCTTTCAATTAATTAATCTTTTTATGTAAGGCTTTTCGTTGAAATGAGAAAGCTAGTGTCACGAGCGGGATTCAACCCACGACATTCGGCTCAATACGCTGCTGTTCTAACCACTTGAGCTATGGTTCCTTTGATCCACTCGAACATCAATTCCCCATCTCAACTTATAACCTTTCGAATTTTAAAAAAAGGCAAAAAGGAGGGAAAATTCGAATGGTTGTAGGTTGAGATGGGGAGTTGGTGTCCGAGTGGATCGAAGTCACGATAGCTCAAGTGATTAGAGCAGCGGCGTACAGCCGAAGGTCGTGGGTTCGAATCCCGCTCGTGGCACTAGCTTTTTCATTTCAATCAAAAACCTTACCATAAAAAGATTAATTATCTAAAATGCTTGACAAGATAAAATCCTCTTAGATTTATGGTCATTTTGTATGTTTTAATCAGAATACATTTTAAAACTTTGTCATTTCGTTGACGGTATAAATTGAACTAAATAAAAGAGACGAATTACAGCCCGTTTTGGTCGATTAGGTGACACTCGATTAATTGTTTCAGGAATCCCTGAGCTGATGATTCCCAAGTGTAATCCTTTGAAACTTGAAGATGACATCAACGTGGAATTGTTCACAGAACCGAACTTTATAAGAGTCACATACAGCGACGTCCAAATAATGGGTGCAACCGATTTCAAGCTCACGTCTGTCGAGTAGGTTTCAGTCAATTTATAAAAACATTTTGCTAAAATTAAACCTTTTTCAATTAGTCTAGATTTGATGACAAACGTCTTCAAAGTAGGAATAGATCTGCCAAAGTTGGAGACCATAGGAAATCTCGATATTAAAGGGAAAGTTTCAAGCCTGCCCATTGCCGGACAAGGTCCCAGCCATGGAAATTACAGTAGGCACTTTCAATTAAAAAAAAGAAAATATTTTTGACCAAAACTATTTTCAGCCGATGTACACGCCGATGCGATCCTCGTGTGTGAAAACATCATACAAAACAACGAGATTTATTTAAACGTGAAGGATATTTCTGTAAAAATAAGCATGGGTTACGTACACCTGAACTTGCAGAAAGTTTTCGCTGGAGAATTTGGTATGCTTATAAATTCTGCTGTAAAAGTTAAAACAAAATAATTAAAATCACTCTTCACATACCTAGCGATTTTCAAATAATATTATGACGATTATTATTTAATTACCTTGTCGCAGGAAAATTCATGGATGAGTTCTTAGGAAAGAACAGCGAGACTATTGCTGAAGAGATTATTCCTCTGCTCGAGAAGTCCATCGGTGCCATGTTCCAAAAGCTATCCAACAGGATATTCAACAAGTTTCCACTTGACGAACTTCTTCCCCCAAAAAATGTTTTTTAGTTGTTTTTTTGTAAAATTTTTTTAAAATTATTTATAATATAAATAAATTTTGTACGTGTTTTTTAATAAAATCAACGTGTTTGTAATATTGTTGTTTTTTGCCAGTATGTTTGTGATCTGTTGGAAATAATTTTTTTTTTTTTAAGTTTTTATTTGTTTTTTACAACTGCATTCTTCGACGCAACAAGTAAAACGGATAGTATTTACATATAAAATTATTAACGGTAGCGTGAAAGCTTGAACAATTACCATCCAGTGATGGTAGCCGTTAGTTAATCAATACGATGAGCGAGATGTACTCCATTGTTTTATTTACTTCTAAAAGATTGAATAAAGCAATTGTAAAAATAAATCTGTACTTCTCTTTAGATGTAAGAGTGGTCCTCGAGACCAAATCTTGAGAGATTATGTAAATAAAGCGATATCACATATCTCTCTCTCTCACTCTCTCTCTCTCTCTCTCTCTCTCTCTCTCTGTCTTTCGCTCTGTCTGTCTGACTCTCTCTCTCTCTCTCTCTCTCTCTCTCTCTCTCTCTCTCTCTCTTCGTCTCTCTTGCTCTCTCTAAATCACAGTCTGTCTCATGATTTTGAATTTTACATATCACACCACTCTTACATCACGACTTATGACGTAAAATAGAGAGAGAGAAAGAATGAGAGGGTCAACGTGCGGCACAGAAATAATAAAGAAAAATAATGAGAAGAAATAATAAATAAGAAATAATGGAAACAAATGTAGAAAAATAGTAATAGAAAGATAGATGGGCAGATATGCAGACAGATGTATAGAATGAGACATACATTTGGATATGGACAAATCAATAGATGGATAAATAGCTAAAAAGGGCGATAATAGATACAGTAAAAAAGAGAGTGAGAGAGATGGAAATACAGATAGATAGATATTAACAAAAAGGTAGAAAGATAGGTAGATTAATCCAAAGATAGATGGATAAATAAGTAGAGAAGCAGATACAAAATAAATAAATAGAAAGATGGATAGATAGAGAAAACGTTCGTGTTTTACCTGTGTTTGTTTACGTATTTCTCGTACACTTTATCACACCCACTCCCTCTCACTCACTCTCTCTTTTCTTCTCAACAACATACTCTGGCACATATCCTGAATTGGAATAAAGTATGAAGTGAGAGTGAGAGAGAGAAAGAAAGAGAGAGAGAGAGAGAGAAAGAGAAAGAGAGAGATAGAGAGAGAAAGAGAGAGAGAGAGAGAGAGAGAGAGAGAGTGAGAAAGAAATAGATCGTACTCAACTGGCACGTGTACATAAATAGAGTGAGGGATTAATTGATCTTGACAATCTTGATAGATAGACAGATAGATAGATCTGTAGATTAATAGATATATAGATATTTAAAAAAGTATTTCTTTCTTAAATTACACTTATAGTTTATTATACTTCTTAAAATTGTGTTACACTCGTTGAATTATTGTATGTAAAAAATTGTGTATTTTCTAAATTACACATTTAGTTTATTATATGTCTTAAAATGATATTACATTCGATTGTTCATACGCACTTCTGTTCTTTACCTTAAATCTTATTTGTTAAAAATTGTTTATAAGCTGTTTTAAGCAGAAAGTTGGAAGACAGTACTTAATTTCTAAATTTACAGAAACCCCTTTCTCTAATTGCAAGCCAATTATTCTGTTTATCATTGCTCTCTCACTCTCTCCACTTTCGTTATTCACAATAATTGGTATAAAATAGCATTCCTTCGTTGGTGTAATCTTTCAATAACATAAGTACAAAATGTATAAAATAACAAAAAAACGATTGACTAATTTGCCATTTAAAGGTTATAAAAATGGAAGAACATTGTTTTCTGGGGTGATCATTCTATTTCATCCCGACAATTTGATCTTTATAAAAAATCTTTTACCAAAAAACCATTATTTAAAATAACTTTGAATCAATTCCTATTTATCGTTTCTTGTTCCTAGTACTACCTATCGATGATTGTAATACAATTGATAAAGCTGGACAATAAAAGATAAATTTATTCAGTTTGCTCACTTTTTCTTCCAAATCCGTTATTTAAATTTGCATTGTTTACAAAAACAAACATTTAATCAATACTTTTTCCAAAGATAGAATTAAATAAGTTGAAAACTATGCTAAATAAATTCCCAAATGAGGAATGTGAAACTTTGCTGCAATGAATTGACTATTTTGAATAAAAACCGGTATTTAATCTAGGTTATTTATTATTATTGGCAATTTTTTCTGCTTTACATCTATTTTATTTCAAAGTAAAACCCTTGAATATTTAAAAACAGTTAGTCTGACGATAATCATAATCTACTCATGTTCCCACCTTCTCTCTCTCTCTCTCTCTCTCTCTCTCTCTCTCTCTCTCACTCTCTCTCTCTCTAAATACAGTCTAAAAACATAAATACACTTCTTATTACCATTAATATACATTATTTATGAAATTTTTTAATATTTTCAAAAAAAAATCTAGTGCTTCAGTTTTGGAAATGTTTCAAAGTTGTGATACCCATGCTTTTCAGAAAAGGATCTATTTTCAGAAAAAAAGTTTATAAATTTGTAGTTCCCGTTTGAAAGTTTTAAAAAATGTCGTCGACTTCGAAGATGTTTGACATCGAATAATAAAAATTGCGCAAAAATGTAACGGGGGTTCGCCATTTTGCCAAAAAAAAGTGAAACCTGCTGATGCCTGTTAAAAAATAGTTTTAGTGTAATAGTTTCAAATCGTTATTTTAACAGTAATAAATTTTTTCACATAAAATTATATATTTATTTAAAAAATCTTCTTTCCTTTTCAAATTTCTTCTCCTTTAAATCCGAAGCCCTACCTCAGAGGTATACTGCATTACCTCTTCATACACCGCCATTTTTTAAGACCCAATGATAGGTCTGTATGATGGACGTAGTAGTAAATCCAATTTTCTTTAGGACAATCTCTGTTACAATCTTCTTTTTTTCTTTGTTTTATGCAGTGTTATAGTGTAAATCATGTAACGGACATATCTCTCTTACTTTCGTACTTTGCCAAATTAGGAAAGGGTTCTACCAGTGGCAAACTCGTCTTTCTAACCCATTACCAATTATGTCAGAACTTTGCATGTTAGCTAAGTAATTCCTGATCAAGAGGGAGTTTCTGGCATTTATTTTTTTAAAAAAATCAAGAAGTCATCAGGTTTCTTCTAAGTTCGAGTAGTGGTTCATTGGCTTGTATGTCTGTCAGGGTTGGTCTTAGTTGTCCAGTATTGACTCTGTAGTATTTATTTTGCACAATATCAAGTATTTTTAACGATGTTTTACATAACAGTGCATAGATAGCCGCTGCGTAATCGATAACAATCTCACAGTCGCATAGTAGAACATTAACATAACACTGCGATCTGCTGCAAACATCGATATCGCCATGCACTTTAAAACAAATGTGCGTCCTAAAACAAAAGTTTGCCTTTCTTGGCAATTGTTTCTATATGTGTGTCTTGTCTATTTTTAGCTCTAACAATGAAACTCTAACACTACTAAATAAAACCCCCAACTTCAAAAAATTATTATCACTCACTTTACATTATCGGATAAATGCGTATATTTTTGATTTAGAAGAGGATATAGTAATGATATTTTGGATGGATAATTCAACGAATAACACCACTTAGACATCGGGCATATAATAGAGAGCTTAGAATCCTACCTTGAGGTAATCCTTGATGTATTTGCGAGCTCCTATCATAGTGCCACTAATGCTTAAAACTACGTTTCTTTCGTAGTTTTATTTCATTCTTTGAGCAATCCAAGCTTCGTCATTTTATTATTGTTAGCAAAACTTGAATATGATAATTGAAATCTCCAGCGAGAATTATTTTTCATCTTTCTCATCTCTCCACTTAACTATTGATTCATGTCTCACATTCTTGTCCATACTCTTGCCAATCTATATTGCCAATCTATGTCTATCTCTCCATACATCTTGCTCAAACTTTTAAAGCTTTTTCGATTCACCCTTTATTTATTCTCCTCTTATACTACTGTCACTCTTTCAACCTTAATCAATCTCTTAATCACTTGTTGAGTACCACGTACTTATGAGTTTTTCTCTTCTTCTGTTTCAATCGATTTCCCTCCCTCCTGTATAACTCTTACTCTGCATTTGTATAACTATTTATTTATCTTACCATTTATCTTTATAAATTTTATAGATCCCTTATTTATTTACCTACTATTATAATATCACTTTTTATCATTCTCTTTCATTCTCTCTCTCTCTCTCTCTCTCTCTCTCTCTCTCTCTCTCTCTCTCTCTAAATCACAGTCTGTCTCATGATTTTGAATTTCACATGTCACACCACTCTAGATAAAGTGAAAATGACAATGAGAAAAATGGATAAGAGAGAGAGAGAGAGAGAGAGAGAGAGAGAGAGAGAGAGAAAGAGAGAGAGAATGAAAGTGAGAGAGAGAGAAGTTATAAAGAGATACTTAGATATTATAATAGTAGATAAATAAATAAATAAGGGATCTATAAAATTTATACATATCTGTGGTACATTCAACAACATGTTACTTTACATTCAGTAACAAAAACCACAGGACGAAAGTTTAAAATTCAAATTTGTTCTTTGCCTGATCAATCAAATGTGTTTACCATTTGTAACATCAGACAAACAATCAATTTGATTTTAACCCAGTGGTATATCGTATAAACAGTTAAATTGAATTTCTCTGATTGTATTACGAATCATTTGATCACCATGATCACCGCTGTCATGTTTGCACAGTTATGACATTAATTAAATTATTGCAAAGCTTTGTGGATATGATGCCTTGACAGAGAAATTCATTTGTGAATTTGGCAGGAAATTTTGATCAAGTTGTGTTTCTTTGGCGGCCGATTGACATCATGTGGTTTTTTATTATGCCTTTAGTTCTATTTGGCGCAAATTAAAAAAAAAAAAAAAAACATTTTCCTAAAATGACTAAGTAAGCTTAAAGGTCATCGGGCAAGAAGGGAGGAGCAGTGTGGTGGTGGTACGGGTGGAAGGAAGAAGTTACTTTCCAAGTCAGTTCACTCTCTCCAGTCACCACCTTCAAACAAAACAGCCGGCACCGACGACATGCGACCAGCAGCGGTCTTCCTACTTCTCGCCGGTTGCACGGCCGCGGCCCACGGAGTAAAACTTCTCAACAGGCAGCGTGAGTATTGTCACAATGACAAGTACTGACATAGTCCGGAATTGTCGAGCGAAGATGCTGGAGACGTAGGCATCACTTTCCCCCGGGGGGGTTTCGTTATATAAGGAAAACGTAACTTCAAATTAACATCTACTTTCTCTTGCCTTTTTGAGGGATGATGATATAAAAGAAATAAAACTAAACAGTAAAACTAGATTTAAAATCTTGCACTTTTAATAAATTTTATAAATAGGTTAGCTACTAGCTGATGGCCTAATCAAATAATTTTTTATTTTAATTACTTATTTATAGTAGATAATTCTTTTATTTCAGCCAATATTATATCAGATATAATATTGTTATAATTTATTAATATAATATAGTTTTGTCTTTGATCCTTCTGAAATCTGACTGTTTTGTAAAATAGTTCCACCTGGTATCAACAGATATTTTAAATTGAAAAATTAGTTTATTGGTTTGTACTTTCATAACTTTTTGAATTAAGTACAAACATTTCGAATTCTGTCTGGCAAAGCTATTGGAGTTTTATTTGATAATAATTTGTAAAGTTTTGTTTTCGTTTTTGTCGGCCATGTTGTTTTAGAAATTTGTTTCTTTTTCATCAAGGAGTCAGCAAGGGAAGAAGAAGACTCCAGCCCTTTAAAAACATATTTTCATACTTTTCGGATCTGAAAGATCTTCACCTACATAAAATTAATATTGAACGGTTTCTACAGTTTGTTTTTTTTAGTGAAAAGGGAATCATAAATTTCTAGCTACGTGAATATCAGGATTTTTATGTTACAAAAGTTTTAGAAAGCTGCACGCCACTTTGTTATCTCCATAAATTTTATATTGGTATGTTATAAGAACGGATACGTAATTACATTAATTCCTATTTTTAATTACGCTTTACGTTTTGGAGCATTGTGAAGAGAGTTTGGGATAAAAGTTGTTAGATTCTGGGGTTGGATGGAAGGAGGGGGCGTCCAGGGTTGGATGGAGGTGTCTGTATCGCCTTTTGCTGTGTTGAGGATATAAAGATAGTAAGGTTGAGTAATAAGTAAATAACTCTGGCAATAGTTCGAAAAATATTGGACTGGAACGACTTAGACCTTTGGAGGTAAACCCAAAATTCAGTTCCACACGTTATTTTGTAGTGAAGATGAAGAGGCGTTTATTTTGGTTAGGATGAGGGTCCAATTTCTTGCTGTCTCGACGATTCAAGAATTTGAAGAGTGTGGATAGTAAAGTAGTAGTAGGCGAAGTTGGATACTGAGTAAACAACTTGGCCAACAGTTCGAAATATATGAGACCAGAATAACCGAATTTTTCGGAGGATGAAACTCTTGGTAAAATACCACAGTTTAATTCCGAACGTCTAGATAGTCGTTTATTTCGAACTGTTTGGCTATTTTATACCATCAGAAAAAAAAAATTTAATTGCTATTTTAAAATCTACATAACTCTTCTTTCCTATTTGTTGGTGTTGAAAAAAAAATGTTGCAAAGGGTATTATATTGTGGGTATAAATTAAAAAATTTTAATGTTTGCCCAAAATAAAAAATCACTCAAACTAAAATTTTCCAAAAAAATAAAATTGCCACGGATTTTTATGGCTTCAACCTCCTTTTATTCCTGATCGAGCGCTCCTCCTTTTACTTATTAGCTGTATAATTGTAATTTATTTTTCCTCGATACTTTTCAAAATCTTATGTTAAGCCTGAACATAAAGTGAGTTTTTTTATTTCTATTAGATTTCGTTTGTACAATTTTGATATTTATTCAGGCCTCTTTGTTTTCTTTATCCGAATATGAAAGGTTGAGACCGAGAAAAGGACCGTGACAATAATTTTTCGGAAGATTTTCTATTGATTGATTTCTAGTTTAAACGACAATAAACTTCTCCCATTTATAGGCCCGGCCTGTAATAAGTTGTTTGACCCGTCGTCCTCGCACTCAATTCTTTCTTTTTACTATTACGGTGTACAATTTATGAAATTTACAAAATCTTTCGGCTCTACGCATGCAAAAACAATAGAATCAAGCCTTCCGGCGTGACAGTATTTACTTCATTTGTTTTAGTTTATTTTATGATTAATTAGATTGACAATGTTGTTAAATTTAGAGTTAGTGTTATGCTCAAAAGTCCAGAAATGTTAGTGTATACTGAAAATTATAATTTTTGGAGTCGTGAACTTTTGAAATTATGTTAACAAAAGTATAGATTTTTATATTTACACAAAAATAGGCACGTTACATCAGATTTATCCGTTTATATCAAAACCTGAGTACAAATGATAATTGTATTATATCCATTATATCTTCTGGTCTGATTCACCAAATTACTTCTTTCAATCAATTAATATTTTTATGTAAGGGTTAGGTTGAAATGAAAAAGGTACTGTCACGAACGGGATGCGAACCCACGACCTTCGGCTCAATACGCCGCGGCTCTAACAACTGAGGTGGTTCGAGCAGCGGCGTATTGAGTTCGTGTCACTAGCTAGCTTTTTCATTTCTTACATAATTATATTATATTATAATTCTTGTTAATTTTCTAATTCGTTGTTCAGACTTAATATATTGTCTATTCAGCTGTGGTGAAAGGGAAAAGAATATTTTTAAATAAACACCACCCACATGCTGGATAATTAAACAATTTACATAATAATGAATTTCTTTATTCAAGTTTTTTAATAAGTTCCCGAAATATCATGATGAGTGATAAAAAGTCAATAGTTTCTATTTCGAATATGTGCAAGAAAGAAAATTTTTGATTTCTTAATTAACCAAAAGTGGAACGTAAAGATAGATTTTCGCGACACGTTTCTGCAACTTTTGTGTCATATTTATGGAAATTTGAAGACGGTACACAAATTGTAATCCATAATAGTAAAAAACGGTATACAAATAAATTCAAATGATTTTTTTAACTTTTGAAATATCTACCGGCAGAATACACTTTTTTAACCTTTACTTGATCTTTTGTTTTCCGATGTAAATGAGGTTGCGCTCGATTTGGCAAATAGTTGGAGGTTGATTCCAAGAAAATGTTTTGCCAAATTTTTGTTCGGCAGATTTTGATTTGGGTGTATTTTAGTTTGATTTTGGTAAGAATTAAAACCTGTTTTCTTTACTTGAAAGTCTTCCTGAATGACCGTAATTATTCTATTTTATCAATATTAATTTGTCAATGTGTCCAATTTTTGATGTTCATAAATGCTGAGATGTTTGTTTATAATTCTATAATTATGCTATTCAGTTGAAAATATAGATTTTTTCATTTACGTTATTTACATCGAAATGTCGTTGATGTTTTTTAAATAATTTTTGGCCAAGTTTCCGTCGCTTTATGCTGAAAACTGTAAATTATTCGGGCAGAAGTATAGATTTTTCTATTTACTGATTACCTCATTTTTACAACTATAGGGTGAAAATAAGCTTCTGTTGCCAGATTTACTTTAGAAAAACTAACTATTTCAACATGTTTACATAAAAACATTTGGTAAAATGATAATTATATTATTTTCATATCAAATTTATTTGATAGTTATTTGAATTTTCATCATGACTTGATAGAAAGACAATGTTTTAATGTCAAATGTATGCCAGAATAGAATATTTGTTAATTAACAAAAAGTAGAAAGTACTGCGGGACGTTTGTGCCATATCCTTGCAAATGTTTAAACTAGTAAAAAAGTATGAAAAAGGTAATGGTAAACCTAGGTAAATAAAATGTTTAAAAAAAAGTTTTAAATTATCTACCAACATAAGACACTTTTTTCTCGTTTACTGGCAATCTTTTGTTTTTCGATATAAATGAGGTCGCGCTCTGTTTGAAGGGGGCATTTATTTCGTTATATTACCGGCTTGACAGCTTATTTAGTTCTTTCACCTTTTCCCATTTTATATATTTCACACTGGATTCGTTTTCCAAAAACAGAACAACCTTCGTGGAGGATCGATCACTTGAATGATGAGAATTTGTTATGTTCAAAACAAAAACGTTGAGTATTCAAAAAACAACAACGTCGTATTGTGTTAACTTTTCTTTTAACCCCGACCTGATGAATATCGTGTACTCTTTGGGAGTGAATGTGACCAGAATGTTCGTATTGGGTGTCGTCTTTACGTTAAATTACTAGAATGAATGTAATTTATTAGAGTGAAAGGAAGAAGTGGCTTAACCCCGCCCCCATGAATATCGTACTCTGGGGGGGTGACTGCGTGACCCCTGGAGAGTAAAAAAGTAACTTATTAGCGAGAATGGAGCGAGTTAAAGGCCGCCCGAAGAACATCGATTTCTCTTTGGGAGTGAATGTGACCAGAATTCTAGGTTCGTAATAGGTGTCGTCTTTATGTTAAATTATAGGAATGAATGTAATTTATTAGCGTGAAAGGAAGAAATTGCTTAACCCCGCGCCGATGAATATCGTGTACACGCGTATTTTTGCTGACTGCGTGACGCCTGGAGAGTAAAAGTAACTTATTAGCGAGAATGGAGTGAGTTCAAGCGTAAGTTGTTACCGAGAATGAAGATGATTCAAGCCTGCCTTGTGGAATATCTAATAAATGTGGGTTTCATGACCTGGGTGTTTTGTATCTATTCTGACAACCTGACTTACAAACGACAATCTAGAATAATAACATGTCTATTTAGTTTTCATAAAAATGCATAATATATAGTCAGTAACAGTATTGAGACGTTCAAATGGCTGAAAAATACGCGTGAAAAGATCAGAAAAGTAAGTAAAAATACGCATAGGGCCGGGGATGACCTCAGGTGATTATCGACCCCTAAACTTCCTACGTTATGATTATTATTTTGTACAATGATAAGTAAAAAATAAAAGTTGCCATGAACTATTCATTTTATCCTCAAACTTTTTTCCATGTAAATGTATCATCTTTTCTGATTATTTGGTGAGCACTTACCATATGAGCAACTAGCAAGTTCTAATATTTAAAAAGTTTACTTACCAGTCTATGTAAGGATTCAAATAGCGTAGTTATATGTTATAAAAATAAGACTTAAGAACTGTTTGATATAACAAATTGATTGATCAGATTTTTTTAAATTACATAAATATTTAAATTACTTTTGAAAAGGGTTTTACGAGAGCAAAAGTTAAAATTATAATAAATAATATTTTTTGTATATTTAAGTTGTTTTTCTTTCGTTTTAGCGGAGTGGCTTCGAAAGCCGTGCAAACGAAAAGACCCCAACATGAACGACTGCATCCGAGAAACGTTCCAGGGGATGTTTCCCTACTTGGCCAAGGGTAAATAATAAAGGAAAACCCCTGCTGTGATAAAACAACCCTCGAGAGGGTTTTTGGAATTAATTATCAAATGTTTTTTTAGGCATCCCTGAAGTGAACATACCGCGTTTTGAGCCGCTTTTTATTGAAAAGGTCGGAATAACGAAAGGCCACGGTGCGGTCACACTCTCCGGCAACTTCAACAACCTGTACGCCCATGGGCCGAGCAACACGACCACACTGTACACACGGTACGTTAACTTTACACATTTTTAAACGGATATTTTATCGTCAAATATTTAACCTCCAGCCCCCCGATGCCCGGTTGACAAGGGAATCGTTAAACTTTTATAACTTACTTGAGTAAAACACCTGAACTTTCTACAAAGATAGAGCGTCTATATGCCAAAACTTTTACATTGCGGCTTATAAGACTTGCATAACCAAATTGTGGTATCGTTGAACATTATAAAAGACAAGAATTGTCAATACCAAATCTTTTGTTTAAAAATATATTGTATTAAAAGCGGAAAATATATGTGTGGTGATTAGTGACCTTTAGTCGATAGTTATTCAGATATCGTGAGATGCGGTCTGGTGTGATGTAGGTTTCAGAAAAACATTTTCTTTATCGTGCCAACGTTTCAATCTTTATTAAGATCATCTTCAGGGCTCAAAGTGTTTGTTTTGTACATTAATTTTGAAAAACAAAAATCCAGTAAGTCTTCAAGTAGTAAGTAGTGTGTGTCTTCCAGTAAGTGGAGCCAGGAAAAGTTGTAAACAATGAATTATACATAATAAAATGTATATTTAATGATCGTCAAAGTAAAACTTTCAATTCCCAGAGAAGACTTCTAAAGAAGAGGCATATATTGGAACGTGAAAAAAAATTTGCACACAACTTCAAAAAGGAGACAAAAGTGAAACTATTTATTTATTTATTTACCGCGCAAAAAGTGAAAATAGAAAAAAAGGCAAATAAATATTGTAAATTATACCAAAACTACGTATATTTATTTTGAAATACAAAAATCCAATGAGTCTTCAAATTATAAAAATTGTACTGTAAGTGGTGCCAGGAAAGTTGTAAACAGTAAATTAAACATATTAAAATGTATATTTAATGATTTTCAACTTCAACTTTCAATTCCCAGAGAAGACTTCTAAATAACAGCCATATATTGGAACATGAAAAAAAAAATCTGCACACAATATCAAAAACGAGACAAAACTGAAAGTATTTATTTATTTATTTACCGCGCTTCTCCACTGGTATCTTATTTTGACAGTATTATGGCATCATCAGCAAAGTGGGCTGATTTTAGAATCATATTTGTTAGGAAAAGTGAAGATAGAGAAAAGGACCAAAAAATATTGTAAATTATACAGAAACGACATATATTCATTTTGAAATACAAAATCTAGTTAGTCTTCAAATTATAGAAATTGTACCACAAATGGTACTAGTAAAACTTGTAAACAATAAATTAAACATAATAAACTGTACATTTAACGAATACATTCAACTTTAAACTTTCAATTCCCAGTGAAGACTTTTAAAGAATAACCATACACTGAAACGTGATATATAAAAAATAATCTCTACAAAACATCAATAACGAAACAAAAATTAAAGTATTTATTTATTTACCGCGCTTCTTCACTAGTATCTTATTTTGATAATATAATAATGCCATCATCAGCCAAGGGGGTTGTTTTTAGAAACGAATTTTTTATGAAATTTGAACATTGAGAAAAGGCTTAGTACTTTGCCTTGAGATACTCCCGATTCCGAAAGGCAGTACGTAGCCATCCTCATGGCGCATGGACATCTTAGATTTATAAGGTACAAGGAGTCACCAATATATATAAGGTTTTATTGAAATGAAAACGCTAGTGCCACGAGCGGGATTCGAACCCACGACCTTCGGCTAAATACGCCGCTGCTCTAACCACTTGAGCTATCGTGACTTCGATCCACTCGGACACCAACTCCCATCTCCCCATAATTATTAACTATAATTTTTCACTGTTAAAAGTATCGACCAATTATTCACTCTCGAACAATCTGGATCAGGGTATGGTATTGAAGAAAAATACAAATTCAGATGTTACTTCCAAGCGTTCAACCTATTTTAAGGTCATCATCAAGGTTGATTGTTGCAGTCCATAGCCAAAAAAAATCAACATTATTTTTTTAAAAGTAAAATCGCTAGTATTATCGTATCCGGTAGTGTAGTTTTTCATTACACAAATCATTTCAATACTTAGGTATCAGGCTTGTTGGGCGACTCAAATATCAAAAACGTCCGAAAAACTCAAATTACTAATTTAAGTTTTTCAAATCGCTCAAAAAAATAGCATAAAAATAATCAATGAATCTAAATAAACACGTGGCAATTACAATCAATCATCATTTTTGCAATTACGAAAATTCATCATAAAAAGAAGTTCAAACCACTTCGAATACATATTGAATATATTGAACCATCAGCCGTCAGTTACTAGGTGATATTAAAGATCATCGAAAAAGATGCTAAGTAAAATGTACTTCAAGCCATAAAATGTTAGCATTGATACTTTTAGAACAGAACCAAATTTGATGAAAAATAAACACAGAGTTGTAAAAGCTAACTTTTTATTCAAAAAGAACGAAATAATGATGACGGTAATTTTATCATAATATATTTTACTGACTTTTCAAAATAAAACATTTTAATTGTATCATTCTTCCAACTTATTTCAACGTCACTTCTATAGGAAAACATCTAAATAATAACAATATCTCGAAGTATAGTTAAAAATAATTAAATTCACTAATTTCACTAATTTCGTGGTCCGCTTGACCAATTAATATATTACAAATAAATACGGTTTTTAGTTCAGATAAAAAAGTCAGTGTCACGAGCGGGATTCGAACCCACGATCTTCGGCTAGATACGCCGCTGCTCTACCACTTGAGCTATCGTGACCTCGATCCACTCGGACACTAACTTCCCATCTCAACCCCACCTTTTGAATTTTCCCTCCTTTTTGCCATTTTTCAAATGTCGTGTAATCGGATTGGATTCTCGACGACAAATGAAATGGCCACGGAGAGCTTTAGTGAAGTATACTTCATTTTAAATCATTAAATTCACTAATTTCGTGGTCCGCTTGACCAATTAATATATTACAATTAATTAAGTTTTTTAGTTGAGATAAAAAAGTCAATGGCACGAGCGGGATTCGAACCCACGATCTTCGGCTTGATACGCCGCTGCTCTACCACTTGAGCTATCGTGACCTCGATCTACTCGGACACTAACTTCCCATCTCAACCCCACCTTTTGAATTTTCCCTCCTTTTTGCCATTTTTCTTTCGTTAAAAATAATGAATAGTTATTTGGAGTTCGTGAGATGCGATCTGGTGTGACGTAGGTTTTAGAAAAACATTTTCATAATCGTGCCAATGTTTTATTGTGTGTCGTGTTGATCACACAAGACCCTATCTCACGATCTTCAAATAATAATTAATTAACGGTCACTAAACACCACACATAATGAATAGTATTAAAAAAAAAAATGACTGGCACTATCGCAGAACAATATAGTTTTCCATCTACAGAATTTTGTTTAAAATAGCGTCGGCAGCCAGGTAAAGTTTTTCTCTTAATAGAATTTCTCAGAGCCCGGAATAAGTGAAGATCTGAAGAAGCGATGTTGGGAAAATGTCGTGGGTGGGGTACCACATTCCGACCACGCTTTAAAAATATTTCTGGCGAAAGACACGTGGGTGCAAGCGTTATCCTCGTAGAAAAAAAATCCGGTCGTAATTAGCATATGCTTGTCGTTTTTGGTCAATAAATTGTTGGCTTTAATTGCACTGAATCATTTTGATTGAGCGGAAAAAGTTTATAATTAAGCAGTCCCCTCCAAAGATCCCATCAAATGCACATTACCTTCATGGGATGTCATCAGATTTTAACAATAAATGTAGTTAACGGAGATTCACTGCATTGAATTCAGGAATTTCCTGTCTGAATATTGTTTTAAAGGACCCAATTTTCATCTCTAGCTATCAATCTTTTTAAAAATGAGCCATTTGCCTTGTGTTTTAAGGAGAGCATGGAGATGTGCTCCGATAAATTCTTCTCATGCGACATACCAAAAACCCATATAACCCTCCGTCAAATAATCCACCAGTTCTCAGACGTTTTTAAGTACCGATGATGTCTCGTGTCGTTGCGTACATGTTTTTTGGGACAAAAGGTTCAATTCATCAACGGCCGAAGGACGATCAATATAAAAACGTCTGTATCCAAACGAACTCTTGAAATAAAAAAATCAAATAACGGAAATGCTCTTTTTCCTTTTTAAATCAGTAAAACATATAATAATAACGCATAAAATGCGAGATCTTGAAGGAAACTTGTGAAAAAACTTAAATAAACCCCCTGAAGATTATTACCGTATTCCCAATAACGACTAAATAAACATTGCTTCAAAGCCCATGAGGAATCAAATCGAATTATTGAAAAACGCTAGGGACGTGTTTTACAATCCAATAAAATCGGGGATTCGTGCTTTATTGAACTTCACAGCGCTATTTACATTCTTTACTTTATGTTGGCAAGACCTTTTCGTCCTGCTCCGAACTCCTTCTAAACTAATCTGGTAGGTTTTATTCTTTTCTTCTCAGGAGTAGGAGAAATCGTTAAACAAAATTCCAAATCTGGTGAGATTGAGTGTACGCGGACTCAAAAGACCTTCTAATGAAATAAATACTTTAGATAAAAAGCTTGCTCTGTCTTCCTTGATACCGAATAAACCTTTGCTCGTATCTGACACCTAGGTTTATTCTGAAAACTCAAGGGCAATTTACCTTCAACACGCTATCTTGTCCTTAAATCACATCTGGTAGACAGGTGCTTTAGAGTGGGGTCGGATCACTTTTGTACGAGGTGGGGGCGCGAGTCCCTCGCGGTAGCGTCCTCGGCCCGCTATTGTACTTCATATATACTAATGACACCCCTTCCCATCCCAGCCCTAATATATATATANATATATATAAAGCATACACTGATGACATTGCCATTTTATCCTATAACTCCGACCCCGTCAAAACTCACTGAACCCTCAAGACACATCTATATTTCATTAAACAATGGTTCAAAAATTAGGATCAAACTAAACACCACTCTACCTCCAGTTTCTTAAAATCTCACCCCTCTTCCAACTGAACACGTCATCCTACGGCTGGTTAAAAACA